TATAATAGAATAATGTAGATCAATCTGAGGTGATGGCGGGCAGTGTGGCACCGTCGTCGCAGCCGGGGGCTGTGCTCTGTCCACTGAAAATATCGTCTGGACTTGAAGACAACATTGGGGCTGTGGCCTGTTCAGATAGAGTATTATTCAGAGGTATTACTTTAGGACCTTAAGGGCATAAAACCAGGCAGAGACACAACACACACACACACATGGTGTGTATATAGGGCCCAGACTCGGTCCCGCTGAAGGGCCGCCTCTAGGTCCTTCCAAAAGGTTGCAGCACATATCGGTATCTACCATGCATTCCCGAAACCTACACTGAGAGCAGAAAGCTCCTGGATTTCTCGTTCCAGCTCTGCTTGAGTAGGAGTAGCAGATGCCGCATCGACGTGGGCCACACCCTCTGCCAAAGAACTGCAGCTCCATAGTTTGGACACACCATGTGTGGCCATTGTTGAGCAGCTGAAGCCCGCACTACAGCAGCCCACTTGACAAAAAGCGCTCGAATTACACAATCGTATAGCAACTGCTCAAGTGATGTACCACAACCTGCAAAGCAACGGAGCAGCTTCCCGAAATCAACTTATCGATTGTTTTACCCACGCTCCCTTCGATTTGTCCAAACAAAGCGACAGCCGGCAGCCTTGCCAAGGATATCCCGCTTCTCTCCATGTGCAACCAAGCACGAAGCGCGGCACTCCGACCGCACTCGGGCCCCGAAGTTTTGCTTCGGGTGCGCTAATTTCTGTTCAGGGCTATGATTTTTTAGGTACGAGGACCATAGGCCAAACCCGGGGTTTACCCATGACGCCGTCACGCTTATAACACGGTTATAACACGGTTATAACACGGGTATAACACGGGTTGGGGTCCGACCCGGGGTCAGCTTTTTGGCTAGCCAAACCTGGGGTTATGCTACATACATCACGGGTAGCTACGGCCAGGATCTTGGGTAGATAGGTCAGAACCCGGGGTTTTGGGGCTGCAAATCACGGGTAGTGTCTCTTTTTTTGGTCCTCAGTAGCTAGAATTGTACCAAAACCTGCATTACCACCAGAATTCTTGAACAAAGCGCGCAAAAACCTATAGCCATGCTTAAAGGAATCGTAGTCACCGAACGACCCCGCAAAACCCTTAAAAAAAACAGCCCAAACCAAGCCACAAAACCGAGTTCTCTGAAGACCCAGACTTCGTAAAACCCGACGCAAGCAAGCCCCATAGAAATCATTTACCAGCAGGCCCAAAAGGCTTCATAATGCATTGAAGGAAGACGGCTTTAGCTACAGCCACTCTAAGACAATCCCCCCAAACCTACAGTCCGAGGAAGCCCGCTGGTAACACAGCTCGCCAGTCGTCGGGGATGTTTAAAGTCTTTCCACCCCTCAGGTAGTTATAGACTTCGATCAAGTCAGCTGAATCAAAGCAACCGCCCGCATCAGTAGTCAAAGCAGCAACTGTGTCCAGCCCGAACGGAATGTCGCCACGACTTTTGGGGCAACCGCCCCGACAGGCCTTCATGATCTCGCAGATCCGCACCATCTCTTTGGCAAACGCCACTGGGTACTGCCTCACAAGCCAGCACAGAAGGGGTGTTACAAAGGGGTTCGGGATATAGCTTCCGGGTTTTTGGGATTGGGATCCTATAATGGGTCTTGGGTTGGACAAGCTTGACTTCGAGTCTATATAGTTTGCTTTACAGTAGTAGGTTCAGGGCTTGGTTTCGCGATAGGACAACGGGCTTTCCTTGGGTTTACTGAAGGAACATGTGCCGGTACTTTCTAAATTGGGGTGATCTATTTTTGTATTGAAACCTAAAACCCGGTAGGCCGAATAAATGAAAACATAATACAGAGCTGTGTTCGGACGAGACACTCAGTTGCGCGAAGATATTTGGTACCCGAAAACCTCTTGACGTTGTTCTTGTCACGGTAGTACTTGGCGGTCTTGTTATTGTTTCTGTAGTAGGCGAAGGACAACTTCCCTTTGTTCACAAGATGTATCTTGAAACTGTTGGAATACATGTAGTGTCTCTTGGGTGTACTGGAGCCGTAGTGCCCCATCCAAAATGATGTCTTCGTCACCTTGGACAGCAGTGTGCCTAAAATTCACAGAATTAAAAGTAGGGCAGCACGGTGATGCAATTACTGTGTGTATATAGACATTAAGCAAGCCACACAGTGAGGTCCACCGCTCTCGAACAGAGCCCGCATCATGAATCTCCAAGCAGGATAAAATTCTAGAAGGCTTCCGCTTGGCTGCTCCAGAGACCAGGTAGCATCGACACACGTCGCCAGCAAAATCAGCAGAACTGTCCTTGAGGAACGATGAGGTTAAATTTAGGGACAGAAACGGATAAGAGGCTTGTTTATACTTATGGGAGAGATGGGGTTTGGCGGCTTTAAGGCTTCCAGGGTGTGGCAAGTTGTTGTTTATTCTTCGTTGCACAACTATATATAGAGGGAAGGGCACCTGCTTTTCCCTCTCTCTCCTTTTGTTTTCTCTCTCTCTCTCTCTCTCTGTCTCTACCATGTCAAGGTTACACCGATCCCAGACTATGGACTCCACCATTCACATAATATTGGTTGCAGCAGACAAATTAAGAACCGCTTTGCAAATGTATTCAGTCATACCTTAAGAACCCAAAACCCCACTTTTTTGTAGGTTCTTATTATAAACCCTAATATGGGATTTATAGGGGCCCTACAAAAAAGTAGGTTCTGGGTTCTTAAGGTATGTACAAGGATTATATAGACAACCCCATTCAAGCCTAGCAGTCCCTCTACACAACCACCCCGAAGATCCTTTCGAGGAGTCGGTTTGAGTAGCCCACTGATGGCCGTTGAGCGAAACCTGTGCTCGAGCAGGCCGAGCGAGTGGAAGTTCCGCAGTTCATAGTCGTGAATGAGGAACATTTGAAACCAAAGTGCACGTAGCCTCGCTGGCCAGCTAGTCGTAATATGTAGAGTACAGCCAACCTTACTCAAGCTTGATCGACAAGCTGCTGAAACGAACTGAGGTTACAAGCTCGGCGACTACTGGTTTGGTTCTGGTTGGAGGACAACTGACAAGGCTTGCAACTAGTACTGTGCTTAATCAAGGCTCGCAAAGCCCGCCCTCGAGTTGAGGTCCATGTAGTTGGAACGCTTGCTGTCCGACGGTCCGTCTAGTATATCGAACCGCGCTGCTTTGTATTTGCCTGCTGCCCGCATCATTCGGTGCAAGTTGCCATTCCCAGCATAAAACTCGAGGAAGGTATAATCCTGGCGATGCATTCACCCTATTCACAAAGCTTCCGAAGTCGAGCCCGTATCTCCTGCTGTAGCTTCTGGGTGTCCACGGACCAGATCACCAGCAGAACCACCAAGACGAAGTCCTGCAGGAGGAGGGTGTGATTCGGAACATATAGATCGCTACTGCTACAGTTTCTCTAGACAAACCCGTGTTCCTTGGGAGCTTTCAGCTGCTTCAGTCGCCAGCACAGGAGATCGACGTCCAGCGTCATTGTGCAAGCGAGGCCAGGGGATCACTGAGGGTCGGGTGTTTCTGAGCTTGGTGCAGCAGGAGGGCAGGGGCCACCAGGTGACCCAAGGATCGCATGTAGAGGTATGTGTGTTGCAAAGCCGAATTTGCCGCTACCTACTACAGCTCACCACATACTGACAAGTGACGGCACATGTTCCAGCAGCAGCAGCGAAACCCAAAGTCTGAATTCCAGCACAGGCAATCTGTGGCGGCAACGCAACGCTGCTTCTGGTGGGCAAGCCGCAGCTTCCACAAGCTGCCGGGGAGGAGTGGCATCGCTGATCGGGCCTGGGCCGGAAACTTCGGGAATCCCTCACTTCTTCTTGAAGGATAAATTTAGGGTGTTTGGGTTATGGGTTGTATAAGTTTGCTTAGCTTGCTTAGGGTGTTTTTTGGTGGTGGGAAATTAGTTAAGAGTCTTTCTCTAAGTTTATAGGATTTTCGTGCGCCTTGGGGGCAGCTGGTTTCGGAAGAAGAATTTATTTAGGGCACTGAGCTCTTGAATGTGGGAATGAAAGGCCAGGCGCTTTGGTGAGCACAGAAAGATTCAGCTCAGGGAAGTTTGGGATTTATATTAAGAGGGAACGACAAAATGGGATTGGCAACATCATTGTGGGACCATTCGCTGTTGACTATGCTGAATCTCCAACCACCCAAAACAACTCTATATAACTTTGACACAACTGACGCAGCCCCTCTCCTACACATATTTTGCTACATCCCAAACCGCCCGAACGCAACTCAGGTTACCTTTCCAATGCCAACGGCGAGCTGGATGCAGCGACTGGAACGATCGAAGATCGGCACACAGAGGCCAGAAGCTTTCCCAGAAGTAAGATTAACAGTCCAATCTATATGCATAAACTCTACGTTTCTGCTTGCTGGCCCAGCATGAATGATCCGCACTTCGCCCGAGCGAGCTTTCCTTCTAGAGTCTGCCGTTTGCTTACAGAGTATGCAGACATATCAAAGTCGAGATACTAACCCCCTAAGCAAACCCAAACTTAGCAGTATCTACAACCAGAAGAGCTATGTAATCGAAACCATTGTCGTTGCTGGAAAGCGCTCAGGTTCGGGTCCATGCCCACTATAGGCGTTTGCTCTAAAGCCTCCGCACATATCAGATCGATCTACNNTACCACATTGCAAGTCGCGTTGCGCTTGCGTTCCCATCGATCACTAATGCAGTGACCTGGCAGTCCTAAGCCCACGGAGCTTGAAACCATCCAATCTACTTGCCATTGTCCAGCCTTTTCAAGGCATTGTCCATGGCACCCTTCAACACATTTCTCATGATGTCGAGGTCCTTGGAGGAATCGAGGGAGTCTTCCTCCACGTAGCCGTCGTGCAGCAGCCACTCCACGTAGTAAGCGTACAAGCTTGCGGCCTTCGCCGTCACAGCCACCTTGGTAGCCCAGGAGAGGGATCCCGATCGGGAGATCGGGGCTGAAAAGGCTGCCAGCTCCTTGTCCTTGCCCTTGGCCTTGATGAGAACACCTGTAGCCGGCTTCTTCCAGTACATGTTAAACGTGCAGGTCTCGATGCAATCCAGGTCGGCCTTCATCTCAGCCTTGAAGGATGGCCCATCTTTGCTTCCCCATTTCGCACCGAAATCCACGATCTTGCCTGTCAAGCATGAGACATCCTTGGCTTCGAAGTAGTAGGACAAGGCCTCGAACAAATCAAGCTTCGGCGCCGCCAGAAGAGCCGCCTTCGCCGGCGAGAGCTTGTGAGCTCCCTTGACCCGTGGCAAACCCATCTCGTCCACCTTCGCCTTCTTGCTTGCTGTGTTCCCGTCCGGATTTGCTGCTCTCCCACCTCGCTTTTTCGGGGTCTCTGGCTTCGCCTTGGCTTTCGCCTTGGCTTTCGCCTTGGCTTTCGCCTTTGCCGTCGCCTTTGCTTTCGGCTTCGCTTTCGGCTCCGCGGCCGACGCCTTTGGCTTCGACTTCGCTTTGGCGCCCGGTCGAGAACCGTTGTCCTCTGGCTCTGCCATCTCCGCTTCGCTCTTCTTCTTCGCGGCACGAAGCACACTTCTCCGTTTCTTCGGGCTCGCGCGAGGCTTCTTGCGCTTTGGCCCCCGCTTGTTGCGACCCTTGATCTCCGCCCGCAGCTTCAGCTGATCCAATCTCATAAGAGGAGGCTTATCAACCTGGGAGTCTGAAACCTTATTTTGATTCGGTTTAATAATGGTTTGCTTACTCGGGAAATCCAGCTACTTGTAGCCGATTACAAAAACTCCATGAAGATGTTTGGTGTGGCCTCAGGGCTGCTTTCGGTAAACTCGTCCATTTCAGGACACCCTGGCGGCGCTTCAAGCGGCTCTGGCACCGCCGCTGCTGCTTCTGCTGCAACGTCGGCCAAGACATGGCCTTCGCTTGGCTCCTCGGTCGCAGGCACGATGGGCTCCAAGAGGTCCAGCTCTTCACTCGGTGCGTCCGACAGCATGGGTTCGATAGGCAAGTCCATGATATTGAAGGGCTGGGTCTCATCTGTAGCAAGCGAAGCCCCCGCAGCCGAACTGAAGGATGTGTTCTCAGACACTCCTGATATGTTGGACTGAAGAATTAAGGTTCCTGATGCCTCACTCATAACACGAACAAAACCATTGCGACTGAAGTCCTTCACTCTTGGTGCTCTCCGATGGGATGCTAGTGGACCCCGTCGTGACTTGCAGCCTGGGTTATTCAAGGGTCGGATCGCCAAAACCAAGGAACATGATATAATCTCGATGCCATAAATTCCAGATCTAAGTAACCCTTGCAGCTTCGCCCTCAAAGCCGCAACCCGAGCCACCATCTGAGCCCGATCCTGGGGCGAAAGCCGTCCTGGAAAGCGGTTTATATGGGATTAATTAAGGGTACTATATACATATTTTCTTTTAACAGGATGACAACTTGGTGCTTAGCGCATGGCGTGGGCTTCCAATCTACAGCAGTCAAACATCGACGCAGCCAAGGCGGGTCCTCTGCCGCTGGGAGCAGGAGATGGCGTGAAAGACAGCTTGGTCGGGGTAGGAAGCGATGTAGCCTTAAGAAACAAGAAGCATCGATCGACAATATGTTCCCCCTTCAAACAAAACCAAAAAAACTTGGCAATACCTAGCGATAAAAGCCCCGGCCCGCGCCAACAGTACTATATAATTGCTTACCATGTAGCGGAATCAGAAGCTTCAGAAGAGGCTGTATCAGAGCGACGCAAGGATTGGAAAGCCGATGGATCGGGTTTGTGCTTCGGATCAGCAAGCTTCGGGGGAGTGCATGTTGAAACCTCTGCCGGCTTCGTGGGG